ACGCTCTTCTTCGGCACATGGTCTTGTTTTGCAGATTGAAACAGTATAATTTTGATATAAAAGATATGATATTCTTTAAGGTGACATTATCGGTAAATTTTCAAAATTTTTTGTATTGTTTAGTTTAAATTTGACCAACGGCCGAAAGATTAGCATATGTACTTTATTTACACCAAAGGATTTGTAATTCTATTAAAGCAATAAAAAACGCTACCCTTTTTAGAAAATTGAAGTTCGGTCGATAACAATATGACTTCAGCATCCTCTTAAAATTATAGTACTTATAGAATGTAGAAGAAAATAAATTTGAGATATCAGGAAAAATAATGTCATGTTCATTTTTTTCGGAAAATATTCTATGCAAAAAAATGCATAGGACATAAATGAAGTATTTTTCAAGAGCTACAACTTTTACGTGAAACATTTCTTTGTTACCAATATTGTTATCAATATTTATCAAGATAATGTTAAAAGAAACAATAATTTTCGAGTTTTTTTAAGTAGTTTTGACCATAAAAATGACCTTGTCAATAATTTTCATTATTATATTTGTAATCAGCGCACCAGAATACAGTAGTATACCAAACGACAGCAAAATCAAAGGGTTGACTCTTTTGAAACTTTATCCCATTTTTCTTTAGTGAAATATATATACTCTGTTCAGCAAGAGAATATACCTGGCTCGGACGAAAGCTCGTCCGTTTCGCGCAGATTTCTCCGTTTTGCGCAGAATATAATTGTTTAACACGAATAGCGCGAGACGCTTAGAAAGCTCTCCCACTCGACATGACTGTACTGCTCGTGCAGCTTGTTAATGCCAACGCTCTCTTCACTTTGGGCACTATGCTTCTCCTGTGCGCAGACCGAGGTATGTCCTCTTGCTGGACAGAGTATAGTATTATATGTAGTTTTCAAATATTTTATTTTGTCATATTTAGTTTATATTTATTTGACACCTTATATATATATTTTGTCTCGTACATTATATTGCAGCCTTGCGACGGAATTTTGATCGATGAAAGAAGTGCGAGCGTCGTTTGTTTACAAACCATCCGACACATATACACTGATCACATGTCAGTGTAGTTAGTTACCTGACAAACAAATACTTATACACGTACATTACGCCGACAGTATCAATTTTATTTTTAGTTCCAACAAAATAATGGCATTTTCGCGTTGGAATTCGACTGTTGACTCCGGAATCCCCTTAAAATATAACAATATCATAAGATATAATATTAAACTTAAAATATAGAAATATAAAATATAATAAACCTAAAATATAGTAATAAATTTTATTACATAGAGGGAAAGATATAAAAAAAGATGTAAAACTACTGAGCATGGGACCAATGACCTTAATCTTAACGTTATCAGGGTCATTATTCTAAATAATATAGTAAAATAAATAAGTTTAATGAATACAGTATAATTTTCTGAATGTATTTTACAATGTATATTTAATAAAAGCGTTCTTAACAGATTTATTTATTTGAACATGATAAATTGTATTAGGTTGGGTTAACAGTTTTTTGAGGTAGAAATGCAGGGGAGGAGCAAAGCCTCTTCCCCACTCACGCAATCAATTTACCATGTGTAAATAAATAAAATCTGCTAAGGGTAAGTTATATTAAATTTACACATAATATCGAAAAATTATGTTTTATTCATTAAATTTATTTTGTTAATAACTTTTTAATAAACAATGACGGCGACGGTTGAATCCTTTTTTTTGTTACTTAGAACTATTCCTTCGACAACATATGTAAAAGTCAAGATTATTGGGGAAGAGGAGAGTATATTAAGTCAGTTTTATTATAAAAAGCGAATGAGGAAATTAAGATTACAAAAGAAAAATCTGAGTTACTAGACAAAAATTCTGTAATATGATGTGGTTAAATTTATTTAAGATAGTTATATTATAAAGTTAAAAGTTTTATAAAGGAATAATACTCAATATTATTCAATGTAATAATAGATTTATAAATAGAGATCAATAAATTGCGAAGATATGTCATAAAGCTATTAGGCTATTAGATTATAAAATCCAAGAAAAATCAAATGTAATTCTTTATAAAATATGTAAATCATAAAATTGTTTATTAGTCTTGTTAAATTGACTACTAAAAATAAGAGTGCTGGAATAAATAATTTTGAAACATAAAAAGGGTGCCATAGAGAATTATATTATATTTACAAGATTCTATAAAATATGTTATTGCATAGCATTGTTCAAGCAACTATTATGCTTACAATAGAGTTCAGTTTAAACCATTTAATTTAATATATATTTGTTATGGT